GCAAATATCATTAAAATATTTTCTTTCCTACGTGATTTTTATTTTAATAAATAATTAAAATCCTTTATTATTACCATATTTTATTATTAACATATTTTATTCTGCAATAATATATAATTAAAAATTACAATATGATAATTATAATATGGACAATAGCTTTCCATGTTATCTTGAAGGTACTATTATTGATACGTTTTTCAAATAGTTTCTTCAGTAGGTTTATTTCATTAAGAAATAAAAAAGGATGATTAAATATATGTGACTCGATAAAGTAAAATATTACATTATAAATATTTTATATTGTAAAATATTTATGATGTAAAATATTTAGGTTAATAATAAAATATGTTAATAATAAAAAATTTATTTTAATTATTTATTGAAATAAAAATGACGTAGGAAAGAAAATATTTTAATGATATTTGCAGGGAAGTCTTAGTATACTTTTCGCATCGCGACGCTCCTGGGGCACAGCGTCACGTGAGCGATCGGCGGCTTGGCCGAGAAAGTACATTTTCGGTTTTCGGTCGCTTATAACAAGCGACTAGTAGAGAAAGCGCGACAGCGAGAGAGAATGACCGTCCTTTTCGCTCTAATATTCGTTTGTATTTACAAGTTACTGGTAGAGCGAGAAGGACGGGTGCTCTCTCTCTCGCTGTCTTGCTCGCTCTCGCGCAGCGGCGAATTCGGCCGACTCGCTGCCAGTAGGTGTCTGCTTGGTGGGGGTAAAAATGGTGGGGCGGGTTTTCCGTGGTGCCGGGAGCCAAATGTGCATCACTGATCTAATGCCAAGCACTGTTTTAAAACATAAAAAATCGAGCGATAAGTATACATACTATATATAATACTCTGTAATTAAAAATCATATATGTACAGTGAGAGCAAAAAGTATTCGTATAAGGAATTTAAAAAAGAAAGTCTTATTTGTAGAAATTAATTAGCAATTTTATACAATGAATACATTCTGTTCTAACATGAACAAACGAGTTTCGCATGTATTTCTGATATTAGAAGCTAAATTTCTTGACTGTACGAATACTTTTTGAGTATCCAAACAATGGAATTTTTAATTTTCGCTTATTTTTCAGATGATATATTTTCTGTAATTAATACACATCTTTTTGGTATATATAATTTTAAGAAACAGTATTTTATTCTTTATGAATAAATTATTATCTAATTATCTCCACAAAGAAATGATCATCAATTAAATGTCGAATCGACGTTAAATTGGTGTTGAAATCATCGTATCGATATCGATTCCACATCAATTCAATGACTCATTTCTCGCTGGATAATATTTATTTTTTTAAAATAAAGTTTTTTTAAAAAATATTTTCTCTGTACGCGGATACTTTTTATACTCACTGTATTCCTATATTACATGTTTCGGTTTGGTTTCGGTCACGATTGAGCCCTTTTCAGATATATAAGTCGTATATGTATATACGTGTGTTGTTACAATAGTTGAACGCAGTCGAAGAGATAGATAATATTAAAAACATAGTGATGATGACCAAAGAGGTGTTTCGTAAAGAAACGGAAATTACTCGCAAACGGCTGGACGACCGGTTGTTTAAAATTTCTCGATGTTCTGGTAAAAAGTCAAGTTAAAAATAATTAAATGAAAAAAATCGAGAAAATGCATCACTCTGATAGAAATAATAACTCATCGATCTGGCCATAAAGTTAAGTTTCACATGTCGAGATGATGCTCGTCAATTTCTATATTAATAAATATCAGTGTGTTGATTTATAGTAACATAATAACGATATCACAGTAGAAAAAATTAGTCATAATATAAAATTAACGTTATATAAAGACAATAATTATTATATAAAATGTATTTAAAATGAGACACGTGGTAAACGTACCAATATGTTGCGGTCACGACAGACGAACACTGACGAATAATAAAATAATCTTGGCTTCGCAACGTCAGATTTTGTTTATTATCGGAATATAAGCTTTATGGAGGTCCTCAATATCTGTTTGTAGATTTAGACTGTTATTTTGTTTTTTGATGTTTAACATTTCCGAAATCAAACGTTTATTGTAACATAGTTCTTCGTCTAAAATTTTAATGTTCCAATCGAAATCATGTTTGTGTTGCAACTTATGTTCTGTTATTACTGATCGAGCCGACGTGTTCCATCGAATATGATTTTTATGTGGCTTTGTGAACTTGACACCCGACTTGCATACATATATTTTTTTTTCCGAAAGAACTTCGTATGTAGTTGAATGTAGTAACATTTATTTCGTTTGTAGTAGCGCAGAAACAAAAATATCGCGATTTAAAAATTGTCATCCTCCGACTTTGAAATTAATAAATTGTAAGTATATATATATATATATTGTTTCTTATAGAAAATCGTTTGTAGTGAATTGTAGTAAAATTATTTTCGTAGTTGCACCGTTCGCGAGATATGGTTATTTAAACAACTTGTATGAAAATGAAATTTTTTAATTTTCGAGATATCTGAAATCCGCTTGCAGGTCTCGATTTAGAATCGTTTCTAGTTGTTAGTAGTGATTTTGCTTTCACGGGAAAGCGGATTTCAGATATTTTGAAAACTAAAACAATTCACATTTATATAATTGTTTAAATAATTATATCTCGCGAACGGTGCAACTATAAACGAAAGCAAAATTACTACAAACAACTACAAACGATTTTGAATCGAGTCAGGCAAGCGGATTTCAGATATCTTGAAAATTAAAAAATTTCATTTGTATGCAATCGTTTAAATAACTATTTCTCGCGAACTGTGCAACTACAAACGAAAGCAAAATCTCTACAAACAACTACAAACGATTCTGAATCGAGCCCTGCAAGCGGATTTCGGATATCTTGAAAATTAAAGAATTTAATTTTTTTATAAATTTGGTTAAATAACTATATCTCGCGAACGGTGCAACTACAAACAAAAGCATAATAACTACAAACAACTACAAGCGATTCTGAATCGAGCTCCGCAAGCGGATTTCAGATATCTTGAAAATTATAAAATAGGGGAAAGTGAGGGAACTGTGCGCAGCGGGTAATTGTGCGCATCCTGGTTTGGTACTTTTCCAATATATGAAGACATCACCGTGGCGAAATTTTTACGCAGGAAGTCGTCCTCTTAAGCTATAACTACAAAAGATACGACGTACATACATCACTAGCCAGAGAAA